GGGGGGGGAACTACGCCTGCATCTCAAAACAAGAGATCTTTCCTTACTAAAGTAGTCCAAAGTAAGATTTGCTGACCTTTATAAATATTCTTAACCACTAGCTGTAAGCTTGAGCCAATACTTGATGAAAGTAACATCATCATAAAACACTATCCACCTTAATGTATTTTGACAATTATTGTAATTAATTTTATAAGTTCAAGAATGGGGGTAATTGTCTGTAAGAGTAAATTCTGATGGGAATCTCAGTGAACTTAGTGTTATGCTGATTTACAGCAGGGGAAGATTCAGTTCTGGGATTTCAAATCTAGCACTGCAGGAATTGGCTCCATTGGGATATATGAACAACTACTCACGTTCGAAGGAGCTAAAAAGACCAGGAATTCTTAAAAAGACTTTTTTTTAATAATCCATTTTTTAAAATGTAGGCATGGTAGCAGTTGTGCTGTCACTATTGAGTGTTTGAAAAAACTGGCATTTAATCAATATATATAAAAATGGTACATGAATTTCAGCTACTTTTTATGAAACAAAAAAGGTGACAGTTCTCTGACAAACATATAACTTGAGTTTACAGTTTCTGTAGTCATTTCTTTCCCTTTATGGCAGATAGCATAGGTCTGTTTTACAATTTTCTATTTTTGCCTTCTTCCAGCTGATGGTTCTACAAAGAGAGAAGGATTAAATGAAAGTGCAGTAGATAACAAACCAAACATAATACTTATGAGCCTTCATTAAGTGTTTTAGTGTTAACCAACACATCTTTATTTTTATGTTAAACTGTGATACCCTGAGCAGCACAAACATATCACCTATGCACCCGTAGATTTAACATCTGTGGAACTAAAGTAAGGCATGGAGTAGTAATATAACTTTCCTAAGGTCATACATGGAGTTAAGAACTTGCCCAGCTATCCCATGTTTTTATCCAATGATGTTGGCCACATGATCATCTTTTCCAGCTGTGGTCGCTATTTTTAAATAGGTGTTTTGACATAGTCTATCAACTGCCTCTGCTCTGTGAATCAAAATACTTGTCTAAGAATGTTTAGATGTTGATCAGTCATGAACTTAGGGACATGAATTCAGGGTATGTATGTCTTTATTATCTTCTTCCATGAGACAAGGTAATAGTTTAGAACCAGCAGCTGTTGACCAGGCAAATTATCATCCTTTCTTTTATATATGCATGAGGTTTTGTGGAACACAACTTGTTAAGTATCTCTGCTAATCCATGACAGTTTTTTCTTTGTAAAATAAATATCTAGGCCTTGCAGAGCTGAATATCCATCCTCTTAGAAAAAACGGAACTCAACCCAGAATTCATCACTTTGTTGCTTCCTCTTTACTAACCTCCCAATTCAGTATTCTGTCACTGTCTTCTCTGTTGGGGGCTCCTTTTCCTTGCAGTAGGTTGCTGGTTAGCCCGCTCCATCTGAAATTATGCATCCTTTCTTTAGCTTAGTCTAAGACTTGTTACAGAATTTACCAACTGCACACACACGGCTAGCTAATGGACTCTCGCTAATTTCTGTTCTGAGTAAGGATAAAGCGTTACCTTCATTTTTTTTTTGCACTGTACCAAAATATAAATGTACATAATTGTATAGAAAGGCCATTCCCATACTCTCCAACTACCTTGAACTTACTCCAGTGAACCTGTAACAAAGTTAATTCATAATGACTGGTTGTAGCCCAACTTTTTTATCATCATTTAAGACCCGTAATATGTTTTCATACCTTTACTAGCCTTTTTTTGCCAAGATGCTGTAGTTCTTTCAGCTGTACCATGACTTTAAGTTATTTATTGGCACTTTTTGATCTTTAATTGCCTCTTCAAAAGGTAAAACACTCATGTTCAGTCATGTATTACCTACATCTTCCGTAGGAGTCAATGAACTCTAAAAGGTTATGGGAATCAACCCCCTCAGATTAATTTTATGAAATCTTTTTGGTAGGTACCTAAATGTTCAATCTCTCCAGAGAGAATAAGATGACATTTTCACTGACAAAATAACTGAGTTCTCAAAGAAATGAATGACTTTTTTTTTTTTTTTAATGAAGAAAGTTTATTGCAGGTCTTTCTTTTACAATTCTAGTAGAAAGTATAGCTAAGAAAGAAAATGAACTATGACCAATTCGTAAGAACGAGCAAAGGAAAAGAATAAGCTGAATACTTACTATATTGAACTAAGCATTATGGAAAACATAAAACCTCACCTATCTGTGACTCCAGATTAAGGATAGCTGCTCCCCGATCTTTGTTTCCAGTGCCTGCACCAGGTGAATAGGGGGATAGCACTGACAAACCTCTGACAGCTGCTGACGACAGCTATTTGTAGTAGCTCCTCGATCAGCTCACCCTAGAACTAGGAACTGCTCCATTCATCCTACCTTAGATAAAATGCAGCAGGCCTTCCGTTCACAGGTCCAATATGACTTTATTTTATCTAATAGGTAGTCTCACCCTGGAGAAAGGTGTGGATGGGACACTTGCAGTTAGGATAGAAAATGTCTAGAACAAAAAGGCTTTCTTGACTCCAGTCTTCGTTACAAATAAATGTCCAGTGCTCATGTTTACATCCCAAGTTACTTTATTTAAATTCATATTAACTAAACACTACCCTGCCGCCTGCAAGTCCGATAACAAACTTGATGCAAAACCAACCATCCTTCCCTCTGTCTCCAATGTTTGCCTCATGATATTTTACAGTTAGTCCACTAAAAAATCTTTTGTGAAAATTTGCCCCTTCAAGTTTAGTAGAAACTTGGCTAAAAATAGAGGCATCAGAATAGAAGGTGAATATAAGTTTTCTTCCCTTGTCTTCCTCTCCCACTCTTCTGAGAATCCTCATCAGAAGAACAGAACGGGGCCTCCTTGCAGAGGTGAGGCCAAGTAACTCTTCATTGTCTCACTGCTCATATAAAAATATGGCTAGCTACACAATAAGTTAGTCTAGTTAGAGCCCAAGGCTGTGTGAAATGTTAATTAAACTAACACAGATAACTTAAAAATCATCTAACATTGCCAGAATCTTTCCCCTACTGCTGTTCTCAAGACAATGGCAAAGAGCACTCAAAAAGCATGTTCACTCACCCGCTATTACATCAGTCTCCCATGACAGAGCCTGCCTTGGGCTCACCACGAGAGGGTGCACGCAAACTGGAAACAAACTGTCATGTGAAATGAAGAGAAATTGTGGCGAGAGTGCAGGGAGCCTCAGCTGGATTTGGTTTCATCAGTCCTACGCACCAGGCTGATCCCCAGCAAACTCGGGAGACACTGAGGCAGGGAGCGTGGGGGATCTGAGTGGCTCAGAAGCAGCAGGGAAGAGGGTCTTGGACCCAGCCACATGAGGATCATCAGCTGCAGCAGTAATTGCAGAAATTTTCTCCATTGCAGCTCCACCAGAGTCCTGACAGCGCTTGCTGCAGAAAATTTGATTCTCTTTATCTAGAGCTGTGTTCTAAAAACAAACAAAAAACCCAAGGCAAACTATGAGAAGAGCAGTTAAATCAAAACCCTGTCTTAACTTAAGGGTTAAAACAATCTACAAGACATTAAATGCATGCATTAGAGCCAGAAAAAAAAAGGAGAAATAACATTAGAAATCTTATATATAATTGTAGCATTTTTGTGGTGCTGACTTTGGAAAACATAAGGAAAACTTATCTTCCAGACATATGTTTGCCATGATGGTGTGAGTTTAAAATTTTTGCCTTGCAAGTCTGATGTGGAAAAAAAATGATGAGTGGTTATGATATGGCAGGAACTCTTCATATTAGCTATTAGCAAAAATTATGTACCTGTGTTTTTGCAGACACAAGGAATCACATGATGCTTAGTGAAAACTTAATAATACATTTTCTGTAACAAACCACATGGTGCAGAAGTGTGTCTGTTTGTGAAGATGACAGATGAAAACCTAATAATTTTTTCTATCTTAAAGCAAAGTGTCTATTTGTCTGCTTATTGTTGAGAGTGGGCAAATGACCTCTCATGAAGCTGACATGGTGGCAAAAAATGCATCATTTCCGACTACTATACTTAAAAATTAGTTTACTGGAGAAGAGAGTAGCAGGTTAGCATGAAAACTCAGAACTCTATAGTGCAGTAGGTGGATTGTCTGGCATATGTCGCTGAAGCCGACAAATTTCATATCCTCTGAAGGATACTGCAAGTTATATTAAACCACAGTGTAATGTGTAATTGCTAGTGGAATGTCTGAAGAGACCTAGAGGGAAATCTAGTAGTTCCTGTGTCAAAAATATATGTCAAAATTGCTTTCTAAGACTTGGAGGGACAGCGTAATTGGTCTTGTTTCACAGTTTGAAGACTGATACTGATCGTTATAAATCCATATACTTCCTGGCTTAACTGTTCACTTTCTGGAAGATCTTCAAGTACCAGTTTTAGTACCAATTTAAGTTAATACAGATTAATTAAAAGTTCTTTGTAGTTTATTCAGTTACATAGAATGGTGCAAGGTACACTTAGTCTGGTTACATACAGCTTGGACTTTCTACAGTAATCCACAGATGTGAGACACTTGAACTGAGGAGCAGAGCACAAATACATGTTTCACCTTTGTGGCACCCCCTGCATATGTAGCATTATATAATGTGTAAGCATTATACGGCACTGTTATGTGGAACTTCATATTTTGAGCTGGGATGTGCTAATTGTAAAGTAAGGTCAAGTGCTCTGCCTCTTCTTTAGCAATTTCTTTTTTTGATTGATTGCTCAGGAGGACTTGGTTTACTAATGTGAACATTTCTAGATATTCTTAGTGGAGTTTGTCTAATACACTATTCACTAAAATATGTAGTTTTCTGATACAAGTTAAATTTCGCATGGTTGTTTTTTTTTTTTTCAGAGGTGGTTTATTGCATCAAAGTCATCAAGGACAGCAGAAATAAGGTACTTACCCTCTTTTTTCCAAACTGATCATGTAGCTTGGTAGAGAAAACTTATTTCACTATGGGATATCTAAATTCAAATTTCTCTTTTACCTGACTTGGCAAAGAAAGCTGGACTAGTATCTCCAATTTCTCAAATACAGGACTTAGAATTTTTAGGTATACGGATGGTGGGTTGTTCTAGAACCAGTCTCACTCAGACTCTACTGCTGAAACTATTCTATTTTGTATAATGGCGTGGCTGTGTGCTGGGGCAGGGGAGGTAGGAAGCAGTCTTATGATACCCCTCCTTCGCCCAAGGCCTTCCGGCCAGGCTTTTTCAGACCAAAGTACTGAGTATAAAAGCTCCCAAAAGAAAAGGTTAAGTATTTTGAATTTAGGGTGTTATGGTTTGGGGGTTTTTTTTGGTGTTTTGTTGTTGTTGTTGTTGTTGTTGTGTTTTGGTTTTTTCTTTTTTTTTTTTAATTGAGTTACAACATTAGTATACATGCATACAGGTACAAGGAGAAAATTCAATAGTACACAATTGAATTCTCTGCTCCTAACAATCGACTTTGGAAATGGAGCATGCGAGTATCTAGGTTTTTGAGATTAGGTATGATGTGCAGTACTTTATCATTATAAAAGTAGTTGCTATGCTGGCAGGATTGCATTTCCTCCTTTGCTTGCTGAAAAAAAAGTCATGAATAAACAGGTTTCTGCTATTTCAGTGGCAGGATAAACAGGTTTCTGCTATTTCAGTGGCAGGATAAGTTATTTAAAAGGGAAAAGAAATGCGGTGATTTTCTCCTGTGCTGTCCTCACAGCAGCCTCTGATAGCTGTGACACCTTGCGCATAGCAATACATACCTATGTAATGCAATTTAGGATTATTTTTTTTAAAAGATTGAAGAGGAGGCTTAATTTTACTGTTGCTAAGTAAAATGTTTTTTATTGATTTAGGACTGATTACCTTCTGACTATGGTGCCTTATGATACTATAAAGGCTGAAGTGACAATTAAAATTTTTATTTTAAATGGAAACAATGCTTATTTCAGTGGTTTTGTTTTTTTGGTTCTGTCTTCATAGGATTCCCATCTTTTTCGAATTGCTTTTGGATATTGTAAGATACACACATGCACAAAATTCCTCTGAGGGGAATAGACCAATAGAGGAAGTAAAAAATAACTGGTTATATCAGTGTTTGCTTAGAATATTTCAAATATGCATCACTTTTAATACAGAAAACTCTTTTGTAAGTGTTTAAAAGATTTTCCTTTACTGTTTTTGTATGGCTGTAAAGCTCTTTCCACTTCAGACTGGCTGAATTATTTCTCCTTTCTTCTTGTTACAAATGGAGAACATGTATTTTTTGTGCAGCAGAACAAAGCATTGCAGTTAGTACGTACCATTGCCTTGGACCTACTCAGAGGAAAGCAATGCAGGCATTGGGAAGGGAGGAAAAAGGAAGGAAGCAAGGGACAGAAACTAGACTTACTTTAAGCAGAACTAACACAATTGCAACAAATCTAAATTTACAGAACATTTTGAAATTGATAAAAAAAATCAGTAATGAATTAGCAGCAACATGCTTTTAGGGGCAGAAAGAGTCTCCTGTGCAAGAACACTGAAGTAGGTATGTGCAGTTTTACTTATCTGCCACATGATGGTATTATCTGCATTGGCCAGATGACAATATTTGAATGAAATGATGCTAAAAGGGATTCCATTAAATATGCAGGTGGACTGATACAGCAATGCACTGCAATACATGACAATTACAATACTGTGGTTGTCTGAATCTTAATGTTTTTAAGCAATGAGTGCTAGTACAAGTGAAGGACTTCTTAAATGAAGATAACTAAATTTCAATGCTCTAGATAAACCAGGGCAAGAATAACAAACTGGGGGCTTAACCCTCATTAGATTACAGTGTTTTGAACAAGAAGTTACTTTTCCCTTCAGCAATAACTGGGAGCTGTATTCAGAAATAAATAATTATGCATTTATGTCCTTCCATACCTGTTAGAAGGAAATAAGGCAGGAAAAGGGAAAATGAAAAATTTTAACGAGGTGTACTTTCCTGGCTGAAGGAATGTCAGTAGCTAACAGAATCAGAAAAAACCCACGCCAATAAGAAGCCAGAAGCTACGCTGTGTCAGAGATCTGAGACAGGCTTAAGTGGCATGCAAGTTGGAGAGGGGCTGAGAGTTAGAATTAAAATTGCTCTTATTACATATAGTGCATTTTATACCAGTTTTCAGCTTCAGGCTTATCCATAGTCTCAACAGTATAAAGAATGAAGCTCTGAAGTCCCTCTCAAACTGTCAAGTCAAACTGTCAAATGAAATGTAGACAACAGCATGAATCCGAAATCCATTTTCTGACTTCTCTCATTTTTATTTTCATGTTACCACTTTTCCTACATTTAAATCTTTGTCCTATTTAATTCACATAAATGTATTTGCAAAGCACATATTTATGCAGAAACATGATTTAAATTTACCTACTTTCGATTTGAACAATTCTTTGTTAACATAAGGGGGCTGGACTTTGAGAGTAATTAATACTAACGGGGAGGGGTGGGGGTGAAAATCACTGTTATGTTACTACCGTAGATGGTTTTATTTTTCTTTTAGTAACTGAAGATACTCTTTGTGCGCAGTGTCCTTCTTTGCATCAGACAAGAATGGACAATAAGAACAGAATGGCAGTTTAATCTCTATAGCAGCTGCATATTCTCTGCAAAAGTGAGTGGTCAATTACAAGTGCAGTTCTGAGTACTGATAACAGTAAACTCCATACCACGATTCACACATCTGCCTTCTGGAATTATTGTTTATGTAAGTTCAACTATAGGTCATCAGGGTTCCTTTATATGCTTTGAAGAAAGTTCCCCATTAGGGAACAGAAAAAACATAGCAGGGGTTAGACTGGGACAAAATTAATGTGGTAAATGTTCGAACTATGAAGAAAGTTTCTGAAATGGAGTCTGGTTTCCTGGCAAGCATAGTGTTGAACAACAGTATGCTCAAGATCAAGCAATACTTGGTCGGGCAGAGGGGAAGAGCCTACTTAACTAACTAGGTGGTCAGTATGATAAAAAAATTAGTTTTTATAATAAAAGATTTCAAATCGTTAATAAGCTTCATTTCAACATACAACTACTTAGTGTTTACATGTTTCTGTTTGAAAGCTTGTTTTTATAGCTTAGCTAGCACACCGTGATAGACTCGGTTGCTCTCAAGCGATGATAAGACAATCCACACTATACACAAATAAAGACTAGAATTAGAGACTATTCTAGCTTTGCTTTTGCTGTTCTTGCACCACACATGCTCATAGAGCACTGTTAGGAAAATATCAGTGTATAAAAATGTTCATTTCTCTTACCATGATGACAGAAACCCCTGCAGATGTGTTATTTTGCTTGGGTAGGGTGTTATTAAAGTGCTGCTTCAGTTTACCTGTTACTTCAGCTTGCATATTATTCTCCTGGGAAGCATCATCCTGTATAAGAATAAACACAATATTCAAGTTAGGAGCAATCCAAAAGTATGTTTGAATGTAACTGAGTAAAAGAGAAGTTTTCTATTATCCTCAGGTACTTCCTGCTTTTTAATGCGAAGCAAGTGTTCAGACAGGCAGCCCAAAAGTGAATGCCCTCTGCTACATGAGATGTGGGTTAAGACAAATTACAGAGGAAAGGAATGTAGCAACTACTGTTTTATGTATGAACTTCTATTTCTTAAAATGCCATGTGACGCTGTATACTTTCAGTCCATTGATTTGTCCCACAATTACAAGCTGCAAGTTTGATTCAAGCACGTTAAAAATAACATGCTTGAAATAATGTTAAAAATAAAAGCGATATTTGTCATTTGGCTTTCTTTTAAATCAGCATTTTAAATGGTCCATCATGTCCTAGGTGTGGAAACACCATACAGTACCATAAATATGTTTGAGAGGAGCTGTTATGCATAGACACACTCGTTATAGTTGTCTTCTCTTGTTTGAGGGAACTCCATAGATCATACTCAGTCCTTCTTTTAAAATGTGTGTGGAAATAAACACTGACTATGTACATGTAAACCTAGTATTTATTAATAATGAACTGATTTTAAATCAATAAGTAATGCACTTCGGTGTTCCCCATTGCTGCTGTCCAACAAGATGAAGGACCCGGCAGCCATCAGCTTAGTGCCTATGTTAAATTAGGTATTTTATTTGCTAATTTTATTTCTCTCATGAAGCTTGAAGTGCTTCAAGAAACAGGAGATTGTACTTTAAGTAGCATTGCAGCAAGTAAGATGCCAAAGTGCACAACAGTGCTTCCACATACACATTTTTGAGATGGCTGTTTTCTAGGTTGAATGTGAAATAACAAAAAAAGATGCCCAAGTCACACATCTGCCTGTCGTGTTATGTTTAAGCAGGGTTATAGCAACCCCCAGCACCTTCTAATTGCAGTCAGGAAGTGATAACCTTCACTCTATTCTTTCAGAGTGCAGAAGCTAACAGTGCTGTCAGAGCTGAAGCTAACTTCAGACCCCTGCTGTTCTCTTTTAGGTGGAAATGGGACTAGTGGTTCAATAAACAGAAATGGGCATAGTAGAAGGGTATTGCTGCTTCTGAAAACTACACTTTAATGGTAAGATTTACAGATTTAATATCAAATTAGAGACAAGTAAAATGTAATTTACTCACTGACACCCAGGGATGGCTTAGGATCTGTGCTGCTGTATATCGGGCTTCAGCATTCACATGTAACATCAGGCTAATTAACTCCTTCATGAAAAAAAAAAAAAAAAGAAAAAAAAAAGAAAAAAAAAAGAAGAGTTTGAGTAGAGTGGGGAAGGACGTTACAATGGAAAATATTGTGCACCAAGTCTTTGCACCAAGCAATTTTCTTGCTACTTGGGCGAAAAAAAAACAGCTTACACTGCTAGCAGAACCAGTGATACCAGTGTGACTTCAGTGGAATAAAAAATTTTCCCTTTAGGTTTACAGTATGCTGGACAGCATATTTCATACCAACTTCCTTATGGTATTCATGTTTCACTGAGTCTTTTAAAACCAGATGAAAAGGAAATGTTAAAAATATCAGCTATAATGTTTCAGTTTGTTTTCTGTATATTCATGCAGGTGACCAGAATGAAAACAAACCTGGGACAGATGAGATCCTCTATGGGCAGTGTACATGCACATAGTAACAGTACATAAAAAGCACAAATCACAGGGAAGAAACTGCATCTGAAATTCAAGAAACTGCTGAAATTATTTGAAAATTATGTTCTCTTCTGTGTTGCTCCAGAAGAATAAAAGACATGTAACTCGTTTCTTGTTACATGGTAACAAGATCACCTGGTATAGGAAAAAGCAGATAGCTAGAAAGAGAAAAATGCTTAATTCTGCTAATTATATGGTTAATCCCAAAAGATTTGGTATTGTGGCTTTCATCATATTTTAGATGCACTAGAACAGATGTCTTTAGCTTTATAAAATACTTCCATGGGCCTTCTGTTAACGGTGTTTACAGATGTGATAAACATTAAGAGGTCATTGATACAAAGCAGTCAGTAAAATAAAATAAAAAAAAAAAAACAAAACCCAAACCAACTTTCTTCAGTTGTTTATTCATTCAAGTTTCTTCTTATGCAGCTAACAACTAGTTTACTGGTGTAATTCCTGGTTCTACAAACTTATTAAGACAAATATGTCCCCCTCCCAAATGAACAACTTCATGTACTTGGAGTCAAATCCCCTCTCGAAAAACCTTTTATAGCCTCCAAATTGTCAATCTTCATATTCTTATCAAGAGTATTTCAAGGAAATTGTTCATCGCTTCAGTTTTGGGAGATGCCTTCTTGAAGCAGGGAAGTGCCAGG